CCATACTTCTAGATATATTTGCCAGCTAGCTCTGACTTAGTTTTAAAATTTCTTACTTTAAATGTGTTCTTTTCTACTGACAGGTTCCAAAGTCTCTATTTCCCCTCCTGTTTTCCATTTTCTTCATTCCTCTGTTATTTGCAAGTCACTGTTTACTGTGTTTCCCCCTAATATCTCCTTTATTATTCTTTTTTTGGTGTCTATCTCTCACTCTTCACCTCCTCTAATGTGGGTTTCATTATGCTTTCAAAGGAAAGCTTATGAACAGCTGCTCCTCCCTTAACACACGCACACACGCACACACACAAGCACACACTCTAATCCACTGGGTACTAAGCTTGCTGCAGTTCCTCCACCACTGTTCTTCTTTGTCTAATAGAATATTGGCTTCTTTTTTTTTTATCCCCTACTCAGCTCCCTGTACAGAAATCAATGTTCTGCTACACTGACCGGAGTGACAGTAATGCAGGAGACGCCAGCCCAACAACTGGATGCGCAATGAACTGTTCTCCAGAAATCCCTCTCTGCTAAAAAACAAGGAGGAGGAAGTCACACTGTTTCCTCCATGGACAAAGCAATTCCCTTTTTTTTAATGGCTCCTCTGCCTCCTGTTCCCCCACGCATCCACCTCCTAAATCCAGAAGTGCCCATCTCAGGTTTACAGGATAGTAGTTCAAACAAAAGGTTTTAAAACAGTTCCTTCTTTACCATAATCTGATACAAAAGCCCAAAACATAAATGCTGTTGCTCTATTAAAGGAAAAGAAAGGTTATTACTGGGGCCAGCAAAGTCTTTTGGGGGATTAGTGTTTTTTTTTTCCCAGATTAGGAGACATTAAAGAAAAATTTCTTGAATCCCTGACAGTATTTCCCTGAGTTAATCTCCTCTGGTAGCAGTTGGGATTTGCAGTGTCTAACAATGTCAGTCACTGCTGGCTATGCCACGCAATAGGATATATTGTGAAGCAACCCACACATTGATCATTCAGAAGAACAATATTATACTCCAGTGCTGGAAAAGGTGGATGACAATGGACTTCATTTTTAGCTCATCAGAGCTGAGGGATGACATACAGATGTTCAGTCTTCTTCAAGTGAATTCAGCATGTTTCTCTTCATAAATTAGTACCTGATTTAGGGGGATTTTGGTGGGGTTTTTTTGTGTTTTTTTTTTCTTTGTGTGTTTGGGGGTTTTTTTTGGTAGTGGGCTGGGGGTAATTTGTAGGGATTTTTTGTGGTATTTTGTTTTGTTGATTGGTTGGTTTGGTTTGTGGTGTTTTGGTTTGGTTTGGTTTGGTTTTTTTCAGGAGGAGGAGGGAAGTTCTTTCTTTTTTCAGCCTCTGATTTTCTGCCCTACACCCACCTCCCCCCCTCCAGTAAACAAATAAATAAAATCTGTTTCTATTGATACTGAAAATCTGAGATTCTTTTGATTCATTTTTTCATGCTGAAATATCACTGATTTTGTTTCCTGATGGGGTGAATGTAACTAGTAGGCTCAGACCCAGTGCTGGAGTGAGTAGTTGACATTCCACCGAGGAAATCAGTCAGTAGCCTCTTTAAGCAATTACAGATTTCGACCTGCAAACTCAAGTTAATCAAAGCCTACTGGATTTCCAAATGTGTTCTGTTAGAAAATTGGCTATTACATGGGGATGGGTAAAGGGAAATTTTGTTTGCTTACTGAAGGGGTTCAAATAATCCTATGCAAAACTAGTGTTTCACACTTGGCTTTTTCTCTCCCAGATTTTCCACGAATACATTTGATTTGAGAGAATGAAAGATAGAGGAAAAAGTAGACACTGTTAAATGCTTAAAGGCAACTCATTTAAGGCACAGGAAGGTTAGACAGCTACCTGGGTTTCATTTTTGCTAATGTGACTCACTGAACTATTTAAAAGTGATCTGTTCCATGGAAATATGATCTGAAAATACTTATCAGTGTTTCACTTTTTCTTGGAATTATTATATTTGCTGGATTAGTACTTCACCATGGACAAGTAGAGTTTCACTTGTACCAGGAAAAGTATAGAAATTAATGATGATTTTAGAATTATTCTATATTGTTTGTGACTGAAAATGTAATTTTCAAAGCTTGAATATTTTGGGTATTTCACCAATCTTATTCTTGTGTTTGAAAAACAGTGTAACAACGCTAAGCAATAGGAGCACTTTTCATTTTCAAGGCATTAAACAAGGAATGACTAATTACATTAGCTGTTTGGCACCAGCACAATACAGCCTTCATCCTTCATTCAATTAGAGCTTGCTTTGAATTCGATGAGGTCAGATTGCATCCCAGTTAAGTGTTATGAGTCAGATTGTGTCCTACCCATATTTCTACAATTACTGAAGTAACACTAAGAACTTTTGACAAATGAGGTACATTTCATTAGGTCTGTTTAGCAGACAGGGAAAGACAAAATTAAGTAACTTCAAAGTAAGTGGTAAAATTGGTTGTTAGTCCCTGTGAAGCTTGAATTGGTAAGCCTTTTGGTATGGAACAGGCAAAAATTGAAAGAAAGGATTTCAGCTCCCTTGTTCAAGTACATTCCTTGTCTCACTTGAAAGGAGGAGGTACCACAAATTTATGTACCCTAATTTGGCACACGTGACATAAGCATAACCCTGGACATTCACATAGGAGCACTTTCTATTTCTCTGCTCACAGACGCACACACAGACGTCCATACTTTCCATACCTGTGGAAAAACTCCAGCGGATAACACAAGGAACAGACATCCTTATCTTAGCAGAGGACTAGTAAATTATTTAGTGATGCCAACAAAACCAATCTCATGAAGACCTACTTCCTATAGTTCATTTATGACGACAGTCCCACTTCAACACTTTACCCAGCTCTCGCAGTCAGCCCATCTATTTATCCCAGTTCTGGCATCTCATGCATTAAACCTACGCGAATCTGCCTGCTGGTATAAGGACTTTCAGGTTCCAGTCAGAAATGAGCCTACCTGAAATCAAGATCCAAAACTTCTTTTTCTGCTCAGATTCAGAACTCATCTCTAAATGTGCAGGTGGTAACAGGCCTGGATGCAGGTGGCCTCATGTCTAGTTTTTCTGTTGGCTGCCCCAGTGGGGTGAGCAGCAGGGATAAGATGAACAACATTGTAGTGCAGCAAACAGTGTGCTAAAAGTTATTAATCTGTAAATGGGATCTAGCTTTTATGCTTGAAGCGTGTGCCTGCTTTTGATGCCTAAGGAGCTATAGTGTCTGTGCCAAAACTGATTGCCTATGGGACCGCGAGGGGGTGAGGGAGGCGCAGAAGTCGCTGCGGGACGCGGTCAACGACTGGCCGCGATGCCGCTGCCCACCCACCGCAGGGCCACAGGGAGGCCGGAGGGGATGGCCGCCGGCTGCTTCCCCCTCCCCCATTCGTTGTGTCCCCGTTCGCCCGCGCGATGGCAGCATTTCTGAGCAATCCCTTCGGCGCGAGTGAGGAAGGAGGGCTCCAGGACCGGGCCGGGGCCGGGGCGGCAGGGGACAGCGAGCAGGGACCCCCGGGGCTCCACTGGAGCTCGGCTCTCTGCCCCGCTACCAGGCGGCGTCTTGCTTGGGTGGGGAACGTGAAAAGCAGCGGCGACGCGGGTCCTCGCTCAAGGACAAGATGCTTGACTCTCCCCAGCCGTGGCAGCCCACAGGGGGGAATGTTTGCCTTGTGGGGTGTTCCGGTCATGGGGAACATAACACGAATATAGCCCGGTTATCTCCCGTGAGCCGCCATCGTGCACAACTGTGCTGCTGCAGTTCCTGTCTGAAGCGTCTGCTGCCTGAGGAAAGGGCGGGGGGTCCGGCTCAGCTTTTCTGAAATTGGCCTGTTCCCAAACATAACTTGTCACTCTGTCAAAGATGGCAGTTGAAGAGTGAAAGTGGGAGCACAGACTGGTGCAAGGTGGTGACCTTCCCAGAACTGCTGTGAGACCTGCAAATGCAAGTTAAATTTGAGAGAGGTGTGTGGTTTTTCTGGCCTATTCAGCATCTCTAGGCTTGTGGATCTCTGAGGACACTTTCAGAGCTCCAGTTATGAAGAGGAGAGCCCGAGGTACCTCTGTCAGTGATCGCTTCCCCATTAGTCTGTTGCTTCTTTTCAAATCAGAAACACACAGATATTTTTTCAGAAGTGATCTGTTTTTTCAATTTCTTTCTCCCCAAGTTTGCAAGACCAAATTTATTTTTACTGGGTTGGTGCACAGGGCTTTCATGATACTGAAGTAATTTATGAAGATGGAACTGGACTAAAGTCTTTTATACAAGTCTTGAAGAGTGGTGTAACTGTCTTGTGCTGGAATACAGCTTTATGACATGCTGTAAAATACTCCATAACTTATGTGATAGAGTGGAAAAATAAATTTTCTTCAGCATCACCTTTGTGTTGCCACAGTGTACCTTTCTGTATGTTATCTGACTTCTTATGCCTCACATTCAGCAAGGGACTACTTTTATACAGCTCTACTGATACTTCCAACATGGTTGGAGCAACAAGTTGCAAGTAGTAAACTAATGTTATAAAGGCTAAGCTTAGAAAACACCAGGGAAGCTAGATATCCTGCAAAAAAGAATTTATGTTTGTCTAAAAGTAACCTGCTTGAAGAAAATTTTCTATCTGAAAAAAAAAAAAGTGTGGTTTTAGGGACATGCATACAAGCTTTTGCCTACAGGTTTGATTTGGAGACTTAAATTTTAAAATAAAGTTCAAAGCAGTAGAAACAAAGGCTTGCACAGGCAGCAGTTACACAATGGATTCAGATAGTCCAAATCTTGTTTTTCAGTGAAACACTGAATTTTTCAACTCATCCTTAATGGGACTGAATACTGTGGAAACATGTTAGGGAGAAATAGTGAGTTACTCTGCCTTTTGTACCAGACCATGTCTGGTTTTTATATATGTATTGACCAATGCAAAGATTGGAACCAGGGCATGAGTACCAGAACCACCAATCTGTTAATTCATTTATTTTTATTTTAACAAATAAAAAGGCCAGATGAGTATTTTGGATCACCATAGCTAACAATACATTTTGTAGTCCTTTGTCTCTTCAGAAGAGAGACAATTAAAAAGAGAATGTGAATCATGTGAATGTGAGGATGGCACATCAGAATATTTTATAAAGTAAGCTATAAAAATGCTGTCCCTCTGGTCTAAACATCTATTTGTCTTAAGGTTGGTCATAAGCACACGCTTCATATATAACCTGTAAAGGTCTTTGTTACAGGAAAACATTTCCATTCTCCACTCTTCAGAGCAATCTGTTAAGGCCTATCTTTTTAGCCTACCCAAGCACTGCAAGGGGTTATAAGGATGTATGAATTGTACTTCACAGCAGCAGGACCGAGCTTTTAAAGGCAATGGGGTTTGACAAGCTGCAAAGGTGGCCTTAACAGTAGCTGTGCAAAGCATTACCGTGTGCTAGATTATTTAGAATTTACTATTTTGAACAGGTTCCAGGTGTATGTGTCCTGCTTCAGAGTGGAGCTGCAAGCTGTGTCTAAGTTCAGTGACATTAGCTATTGCTCGTGAGCTAAAGAGGATTCAGAGCTAGGAAATGGCAGTCTTAAGGTGTAGTATGTTGTCAAGGCCATCCAAAGTTTGAACTTGTTCAGTGTCACTTTGGTGTGCTGTGGAGTTGAAAGGCAGAACAGCATCTGCTGTTACATGAAGGAGCTTTAGTTTGCCAGTAAATCTTAAACGAATACCAATTTTAGTCCTTTGAGCAGCAGAATCCTTTTGAACTTCTGTTGGATACAGGGATCGCAGGGATCAATCAGACTACTGCAGGCAGGATGTGTTCATTCAGTAGCAGCAGCTTTGGCACGAAAAGAGGATTGTTAGAGCCTATTTTCCCTTTAGCAGCAGGAGTAAGTACTGTAAAGAAACAGGACTCAGTAAGATTGCATGATGCATAAACAGTGTGTAATCCTCTGAATGTGCAGGGAATTATACACGAATGAGGAACAAGAACAAAAATCCACTTGTCACTGTTGCACATGCCTGGTGTTGAATATCCAAGTTTGAATTGTCTGTCAGGGATGCCTTTGTCTGCAGAAGGGAACACTAATACCATATAGCACTTTCTAGTTCCTCCTTTGGGATTTCATCAGAGAAGTCCAGAAGGCAAATGGAGCTGTATTCAGTGGTTTCAGCTCCACAGGTTTCTATTTTGTAAATCGGATAAAATGCATTCCTTTTAACATTAACAGAATTGTCTCAGGGAAAAAGTGTTTATTGAATAGGTTTCTGTAAACAATCATGGAATAAAACCTTTGGCTAGAAGGGCAAGAGAATGGAAACAAAAATCTGATAGGCACTTTCCTGGAAGCTACAGTACCAAATACCAAATGGCATGCAATCAGAAAATGGTAAGCAATCAGATCTATTGCAGAGACCTGATTATAACGATATTCTCTTTTTGCCCTCCTTCCATAGGAATGATGGTATATTCACAAAGAAAACAAACAGGTTTTGTAAAATATCAAGGATCATATGCATTATTTTTTTCTAGATTTTTTTTTTGTTGCTGTTCTTATTTTCATGGAGGTGCTTTTGGCAAAATAATCAAAGGCTATAATAAAGGGATTAAAAGATGTCTGCATACTAGCATGCATGCATATACATGCATGCATACATCCTATCTTAGGTTGCAAATTTCCATTAATTATTTTAGGAAATAAATTAAACATAGAAACAGAAACTGAAAGATCAGTAGCAGAAGGGTTTTGACAAACATAATACCTGCAGCTGCATTTCTGTTCCTATGAGAGATTTGATTTGACATCCGCTCATGTTAGCATTTGGAAGAGAATAAGGCTTGGCATATTTTACTATGTATTTTCCTCCTACCGAGGACAGAAGACGCAGGCACCCTGCTATACCTTTTAAGTTGTTCCCTTATTGCACAAATCAAAAGAGAAATATTTAAACATACTTCAGAGGTTAATTTATAACAATTAGTTTCTCACTTTAAAGATGTAGCTGTTTCCTATTTTTTTGAAATCTGTAGAAAAACAAATTGCAGGAGACCAGTAAACCTTTCTAATTTCCTAAAATAAAAAAAAAAAACAACCCAACAAAACAAACCAAAAAGTGCCCAGGAAAGTGCATCATATCTCTGTGCCTTTTCTTTCTCAGGAAATCAGAGACGAAACCACCTCAGACTGCCTCAGCTACATGTTAAAACATAAACTTCAACATGCAGGAATTGTTGAAAATCGAAGTTTTATTCCAGTTATTATCCCTAAACTCATAAGATGCTGATGGCCTCAACTGTGAAGGCTGCTTAGGTTATACTGACATATTAAGTGGATGTCAATGACATTGTCTAGCAGCAAGCAACAGAGCTAGTCTCAGCAGCTGAGGCTGGACAAACTCAATCAGAAAATAGCGTGTGCTTTTCTAACAGCGAGGGGCAGGTTTTTGTCAGCCATGCAGAGCTACGCAGAGGTCCCCATCACTGAGCTCCAAACCAAGCCTGCTTATCTCTTGAAATAATGCTTTCTAGCTCAGCAAGAGATTTTAGGGCTTAGTACACGATTGATGTAGGGATTCCTGTGGTCTTTGTTACAGGTCAGATGAGCTTATATAACTGTCATGTCTTGTCCTTCGCCCCATGAATCTTTTTATCAGCTAAACACAGGGGTTAGGATATACATCCAACAAAGATTTCCTCACATTCTCCTTTCTGCAATTCAAAGTTGTACTCCAGTGTATCAGTATTTGGTCATGTGAAACAGGAATGTATGTCACCTGGCTTTTAAGCAGCAACAAATGCAGCACGTGAGAAGATGGCATGCTTTCCATTTGTAGTTAAACTTAGCTGTGGAAAGTTGTGTCAAACCTCAGGCAATGTAAAACAAGCTACTGTATTACAGTGGCTAAGTAGTCTGAACCACTTTATCAGGGCAGCCACAGTTCATCGGTACTCACCTGGATGAGTGAGTCCAGATTTGCTGCAGACCTATTCTGCCTACAGAATTCTTAGACAGAAAAATCCCACTCTGAGTGCAGAAACCAATTCATGTGTTTTGGGGAAAGAAGAGCATAATGTTTTGTAATATATTCTGAGTTCTTTCCTACAAAAGAGTATACTGAGTTTGAATTATGTAATATGCTATTATTTTTATTAGATAAAAATACACTTTATCCAGTGCAACAATGACACTATAAAGAACAATAAGCTGCATATAAAAAATATTGAGGAATCTGATTTTAAAGCTGTTGGAAAATTCCCGTGTTGACTTCAAGGAACTTTGGATCTGCATAGTTTGATTTTTTAGCTTTTAGTGTAATTTGAGCAGTTGAAGAATGCCAGCATGGAATATATGAGGGAAGAATGCAAAAAATTTCAGAGAGTTGACCACTGAAATCACCTGAGATAATGACTAGGGGAATGTAACAGACCAAGCAAGGAATAGTCAAATGCTCATGGAAACGTGCAGAATAATTTGCAAAGGTCTGGGTGCCTCCACAAATGAGAAGAGAGAGGCAACAGTAGCTGACTACATGGCAGGCATTTAACATGCAGAGTCATGGAGCTAAGCATTTCTGCGATGAGCTCAGCTGTCACTAGTGATGGAAAACTCTCTGTTTGAGTAGACAGGGGAAAATTTTAAGAGGTGTAACAGACCTGTTACCACTAAGTACTCAAGCTTACTCATGCTCAGGCTTGAAGACTCAGAATTTATTTTTCTACTGTCGTGGTTTAAACCCTATTGGCAAATCAGCCATGGAGTCTGCTCCCCCCCCCCCCCCCCCCCTTTTTTCCCTCCCCCCAACCACCCACCTACTCCTGGAGGGATGGGGAGGAGAATCGAAAGAATGTAACTCCCACAGGTTGAGATAAGAACAGTCTGGTAGCAAAGGTATAACACAAATCACTACTGCTGCCACCAATGATAATAATGATAAAGGAAATAACAAGGGAAGAGAATACAATACCACCCGCCAAAATGAGCCCGACTGAGCAGTGAGTGCCCTCAGTTACCTCCTAGGCATGCCATGCTGTGGTATGGAATACCTCTTTGGTTAGTTTGGGTCAGGTGTCCTGTCTCTGCTTCCTCCCAGCTTCCCCTCCTCCCTGGCAGAGCATGAGGCTCACAAAGTCCTTGGTCAGAGTAAACATCAGTGTTATCAGTGCTGTTCCCAGGCAGAAAGTCAAAAACACAGTGCTGCACCAGTTACTAAGGAGGAGAAAAAAAATGACTGCTACTGCTGAACCCAGGACATCTACGAAGATTTAATCTGTTTTCACTGAGACCAGGCATTTATCATTAATATTGTTTGACCTAGGAGATTATCTGCACTCTTAAGTTTCCCTCTCTGGTTGGACACTAGTTTTGGCACTTTTATTTCATTCAGAATCACCAGTAACTTGTTTTCCAGCTCTTAATGTGACAGGTAACAAGGACAATGGAAAGCACTCAGTGACAGATGCAACCTTGTTGCATCTGGAGGTGCAAACATGTTTTCAGTTTAGCATGCTAAAGGGCATCAGTTCACAGCCTTAGGTGGTTTGGAGCATATGTTGCTGCTGAAAATAAGAAATAAAGTGTATTTTGAAGACAGCTGTCCAGGCATGTGTGCGTGGAGCATTTAACTCTCTGAACACTGGGAAGAAATGTCTAGACTGAGTCAAACTAATGAAATGCCTCTGATGGTAAAAATAAGCCTGCTAGAAGTCCTCTTGTGAGCAAAATGCATTAGTGCTCTTGTACACTGCTACAGCACTTAATGTTTTCTGTTACAGTTTCCTTAGAAGAAAATTGCCCTTGATATCACAATGATATTTCAACATTTTTTTAATACCCAGACCCCTATTATTAAGCATTTTTTTCCTTTATTAATAGTTGATGCCTCTGTTTAAGGCTTCAATTCGAAAGTATCTTTCAAATCTACTTTATTAGATTTTGAGTAAATGTTCCCCAAATCTCCTTAGCATTTTGTTAAATATGAATGTCATATATCTTTTGATAAAACCTACAGAGTTAACTGCCTAATAAAATACTACATGACTAAAATGATTATTAATATTTTAGCATTATGCTGAAGTATGAGTGTTCTCCCAGCAAAGGTATGAATCACTGGTTTTTCATTTCTTTAATTCTTTATTAATTGGTACTTGAGGCAATAAACCATAGCATATAACTTTGGCTTCAGATAAGGTTTAATGAGTGCCTGACCTTTGCTTGGATAATTCTGTCAGTGAACCGATTCAAGATAACCCTTTGAAGCTTGAATTCCTGTATTGAATGCTACTTGCTTTTCACTGTCCTTGATTTAAATGGACGGGACTGAAAGTTGGCTTTTTATTTGGAAAAAAAAAAAAAAAAGGCCTCCATAAGAAAGCTTTCTTTTAAATGACTAATTTAATGGAAATTTAATTTTGTGTGTCTCTCTTTAATTATTCTGCAATATAACAGAAGTCTGGTTATAGCTGGAACTAAGGACCACCTATCCTAACTGAGTTATATAGCCTACTAAGCTGTAATAATCAGCATGATGGCCCTTCCACCTAAATGTACATCATGCATATGGATTTGCAGTAAAAATCCAGCAGAGTAAGTCCTAATTCTTTTAGTGTCCCACAGAGTACACCTGGAGAAATCAGAAAGTTACTGCATAAATGAAATTGTATATTAAGTGGGGGACCTGATACCTTTCAGGTAATTCTTAAAAAAATGCAGATAGTCAGTCTCAAAACTTGCCTGAAGTCTCTTGAGAACAGGCTCCCCCAAGGGATCTCCAGTACTTTCTAGTTCTGGCTGGATTTGAAATAGCATGAGAGCAGTCACTCATGCTTTAAATTGGGATTTATGTTTTCTATTGCTCTCTGAATCCCAATGTGCAGTTAGGCATGAGGAAATGTGAAAATGACCCACCTTATTCTGACTCTAAAAATATTTAATGATTTTAGACATGGCTGAAAGATGTAGACAGTGTGTTCTGTACCTTAAGATATATTTTTTCTGGGGGAGTTTCTGACTACCATACCTAGTGGTAGTATCAAAGTATCAAAATATTTGTTGCTGGAAAAAAAGTAGAACCTGATTTCATAAAAAAAAAAAAAAAAAAAAGCAGCCCATATAAAAAGCACACAAATCCGTTAGATCTGTTAGAAATAGCCCTCTTATTTGACACTAAACATACATGAGGAAGCCTAGATTAAATTCTTTCTCTGATCTTTGGCAAGTATGCAAGTTAAGGCCAGACACATCTTACAAGAGTACCTTACACAGTGACTAGCATGACCAGCGTGTACAGTATATTCTCTATTGAAAAACTGTTTCTGTGAATATAAAATAAGTAATATTTATTGGAGCAGGGTTTGGAACTTGAATCTGATGCTTTTGAGGCATTTTAACCCTCAACAACAAATAGCTAATGATTGAGTGCAAAATATAACAGCTTCATTTCAAAATGCCTTTGTTTTAGCAGTGTTTTAAACATATTCAAGGGTTCAACTCCAGTTTTTAATCAGAAAACCTGAAACTAACTGTCAGGGATATACAGACAGGGGAGACTTTATCCCTGTTCTTTTATGAAGGGAGACAATAAACACATTTTAAAAAACAGAACCACATATGTATAGTATCAGATCAGATCAGTAAATCTAGCTTGAAAATTATATTATTGTCAGATTCCAAACAACTTTTGGGTTTTGTTTTGTTTTTTTTTTGTTTGTTTGTTTTGCTTTTTAAAAGTTCTATACTTGGTACCATTTGTTGCAAATAATTCACATCCTTGGGCATTCACAAGTAGTTTAATGAATTACAATTGCATTCTTCAATAAAATACTGAAAAGAAAATAGCTAGTCCTAGTTACATGCTTAAATAAACGTGTTTCAATGCTTTGATAGTTTTGCCCTAGGAGTTGATCTCATCATTTGCACATGTTGATTCAAAAAATTTGAGAATTTTTACCTGCAAAATCTGCCAGCTTCCCAGTGGAATCACACTCAGTTCTGTATGGAGATTTAGACTCATTCTTCACACTGAACCTGCCATTTGCAAAGGCAAGATATCAGGGCTAACAGAAACAACCTAGAAAGGAGAAATAGATCTAGCTGCTTACAGCTAACAGCATAAAACTATGGAAACAAGCTGCCTCACTATGGTTAAGAGACTCCACTCCAGTGAACAGAATTAATTAAGTTCATTTCCACGCAGGACTGCCCTTGGTCCACAGAGAGTCAAAGGGCAGTTGAAGAGTATAATTACTTGTGTTAAAGAGAAAATGGCAATGGGAGTTAGCCCAGCCTCACAATGTGATTTAAGAGAACAGCATGCCTTCATTGTATTTTTAGATTGATGTGGGTGAATTACAATTCAGGGGGAAAAAAGCTCTATGTGAAACAGTACTTACCAGATATAAATGGAAACACTCATTCAAATTCTTCATTCAAAGTACTGAAGAAGGAGAAAAAGAAAGAAAAAAAAAGGTAGCCGCTCCTATAATATGTCCAGCAGAAGGAATGAATGGCATTAATTACAGTTTGCTTGAGATTGACATGAGAATAAAAAACAACTGCTGAATAAGGACTACTAATTTTCAACCTTATTAGAAAATATTAGATGTTGTGTCCACTCATTCCTTTTGATCCAGTATGCACTAAAAATTTTTCCATTTCCACCTACTCTGCCCTGCACCATTCACCAAAGTGTAACAAGCATTTTAACAGCCTAACTTGGACTATAGACACTGTACCTCTCCAGGCCTTTTCCAAAGCTTGCATAGGATCATATATTTTTTTGTTGATACCTTCCAGGTGATTGGCAAGTTTTTGTGGCACCTATTTTTTATTTTTTCCTACTCACAATGGTATTTGGAATAATTTAGTACAATTCTGGATTGCATTTTTACCTTAACCGAGTGATATAAATGTAGTGAGAGTCAGCTCTGAAAATTTTCCAATATGGGGACAATAAAAGAGAGGCATATTATTTTCTCATGGACACTGGGGTTTCTCTGCTACTTTCACTTTTTTTTTATAGTATATCTGAATATTTTTAATGGAATAATATCCAATTGCAATTTAAGCCTCCTCAAAGGATACTGGTCAGCTTGAAAATACAGGCAAAGATGCTAAAGGAATCATGTGGTTTTTTAGTTGTGTTAGCACTGTCTCTGCTTCTGTTAACATCAGCAAGTTGTCCCATAGAAACAGGCATTTTAACAGCTGTCCCAAACATTTATCTGGATCTCTGTTAGCTTATTACTCTTGTTTCTTTTGTTTATGACCTACAAAGACACTTTCACTTCAAATGAAAATTAAAAAATAACTTGAAATATCAGCTGTATCAATGTGTGGGCTCTTGTATCCTGCTGCTGTGGTAGAGGGATAGCTAACATGAGTAAGAATTATGGTTATATCCTGTTGATGTAGTGTAAATACAGTGTTGTGAAAGAACTGAAATTCACTTGTTTAGTTCAAGATTAGGTAGTTAAAGGCTGAATTAGTGTTGTCTCCAGCCTATTGTGTTACCACTCTAATGCTCTAAGTCATTTGAGGGTAGAGCTGTGTCCTAACTCAAAATTCAAATTCAGGACCTTTTCTTTCAGAATAAGTCTCACCTAAATTACTTCCTCTATTACTTTTATAAAATACTATGTAATTACATCAAGAACTCCCTGAAGTACCTTCTTTCTTTCCCTGCTCTTCCATGAGAAGTTTTAGATTCAATGATGATGTTGCTCAATGAAAATGTGCTGGCAAAGCTAATTGATAGTATAAAATAAGAAATCAGCTAAAAGACCAAGGCCAGCAGGATTATACGCAAAACTGAATTCTAGTTCATTGAGCCACAGATGTTAAAAGTAAAAAATACAAAAAAAAAAAAAACAAAAAAAAAGGTCAAGATGTAATTTCAAGACTAAGCAAAAAAAAAAAAAGAAAGTCAGTATTACTTTGAGTAGAAGTTGCTGTGCTAGCTGACTTGGACTGAACTTCTTGTGCTATTTCAGTTGTAAATGGTTCAACATGAAAGCTAAAACTGTGGAAGCAATGTTAATTGCTGAATCAGCTGTGTAGTGAAAAATCAGAGAGCTCAGAGCAGCCTTCAAAAAATTCACAGTGGTTTCAAAAAATATTGAAACGAGGAGATAGAGAAATAAATGAAACATGAAACTTGCACTTCAAAATGCACAGATGCATAAGAAAAAGGGTAGCAACAACATAATGATATGTAATTATATGACAATATTCATAGACTAGAGCAGTATAAAACAAAATTGATGAGACAACTTACATACATAAAATACAGCTATTCTGTTTATTTGGACTAGGTCCTCTGTAGAGAGAAGGGAAGGAAGGAATTTGAAAGGATTTGTATGATTGGAAAAGACAGAGTTGTTTGTCCAATTGCTCATACAGTACTAGATAAAGGTAAAGTGCTTGTGTGATTTAGTGTATCTGGATAGCAGATGCTAAGAAATATAATTAGAACTTCCCATGTGTAGGAAAGACTTACAGGCTTCAATGACAGCATTGCAGTTTAATAGGCTTCTGCATCTGATCTTGTTTCAACTGGAGTGGCCACGGGAAGTTCAACAATACTGGAAATAAGCAGAGGAAAACTTCCTGCACTTCAGACGAGGTTTTAGTTCTTTGCAGTGAACCTGGTTATATTTATTATAACAGCAGTGAAGGAGAAACTGCTATATACTGCTGGATTTGTCATACCTACCGGATTTGTCATACCTACCAGATGTGTCATTTAAGAACACAGTTAACAATGGTGCCTGATAATATCAGCAGAGAAAGATCTGGAGGAATCTCCAGACAAATAAAATATATTTTATGGGCCAGATAATCCTCTACAGGAGCCTGTCTATTTTCATTGTCTATCCAGAGAAGCCATGGATACCTGGAGTTCTGATTTTGATGGCTCAAGACAGATGACATTAGTCTCACTCATACTGAATAAATGTAGACATTTCTACAGTGCAGGAAAGCTACAAATTAAAGAAAAAAACCTCTCAATTTAGAAATGCTAGGAAGCCCATAGCATGCATTTTCTTAGTGTGATATTTTATATACTGTTCAACCACTCTGTTTCAGTTCCTCAGTTTAGCACATGTTCTGGCAGCATCTGCCCATGTGACAAGTCCTGTTGCTCTGACTTGCTGCTGGGAAAATCCATTATTCAAACCCTGGTTGGAAGAAGTTGGGTTGAGCCCTTGCTAGCATCAAGAAAAGATATACCTGTCTGTTCCTAGCAGGAACAGGCTTTCAGCATGGTTATGTGAACTATGATTTTCTCATGTGTCTTCACTGTCCTTTTAATATCAGTGAGAGTGATGACTTCCACCACCATGACGACCTTCTTAGGAGGGTTCACATTGCCCACCTGACATGCTTAGGGAGCTACTTTCCCAGGGCTCTGCATACAGCAAATGGAAAAAACTTTCAGAAATATATTCAGATGCAGCTTAAAGGCTCAAGTTTCCTCCTAGAGGCTATAGAGAAATCACACAGAGAGTAGCTTTCTAGTTTAGGCCCAAAAGTATTCATTTTCAAGTAGCAGAGACAACACGGTCATATTCTAACCTGGTACCTAAACTATGTGAATTCTCCCATAGAATTGTCGTAATTTATTTGATATTTTGAAGTCTGTAGAAATGTCAACAGGCAGCTAAACATCAGCAATCCAACTAATTTGAATTTAATAAGTTACAAAGCCAAAAAAACAACTGAAATTCATTTCCAGTAGTCAGAAACATCATGCATTTCAGTCCACTAAGGTGAGTCCTCTGTTGCCATCTTAGTACATTGTATAACCAGGTAAATATTAGGAGCATAGCTCCAGGAGTGAGAAATATCGGCATATACAGATGGATACCAAAAGTGGATAAACTGCATCTTGCAGTTTAGTTTCATCTGGAAGGAATATAGTTCCCATGGAATCAGGTAAGGTATTTGAAATCCTTCAAAAGCTCATATTAGGTTCAAATGCCAAAGGTGCAGGGTTAAAAAGCATCTCCTGCCTGTCAGGCCTCCAGACAACCTGCTTTTATTAGCCCCAGTTTTCTCTCTCAATGTTTTTGTATCTGACATGACATTCATTATGTCCCACAGAGTTAGGGTATTAATATGATTTGCTGTTCTCCACAAGATGCAGCACATTTAATCCACGTGACAGCCATTTTGTAGAATGAGCAGATGTATTTATTAATCACTTGCTATGAGTTTCTAAGTTTTATTACCTCCACTTTGGGATCAATATTCTTAATTGTTCCTTGCTGTGGCTGCTGCATAAGGTAATATGTTAGCAACTTCAGATTAGAAAAGAAATACTGATGTAACATCTAAGATTTCTTAAATTATGAATGAACTAATTTTTTAGGGTTGGAATCCTGGAGAGAAATAGACAAACAAAGAAAGGGTTTACGTTCATCTTTTCAGTTTGTTTATCTAGCTATGTCAAGATGAGCTTTGCTATAGATTTCTAGTTTCTCCTTTGATAGTAGCAGTATCACCTATTTCCATCTGAGAGTTTCTTCAGGATCAAGTCTGTTGTGGGAAATGGCACAATATTTCTGTATTATCACTATCTGAACAAGATGTCTTTTCAACCTATTTCCTATTCTTAAAGATACCAGGAACAGCAGATCAATTTTACATCTCAAATCCCCTAAACGCTTACATCAAGTATATGAAGTTCAGAACTGAAACTTTACAGCTAGCGATAAGAGACATTTTGTCTAGAAGGTGTGTCAGCTCAATGCAAGTTTTCACATACCTGATTTGTCTCTGTCTCAAAAAATGTTTCAGATTCATCTTCCTGGAGGCTGATGAGCTATTCACTGTTATTTCCACCGGGATTTCAGACTATATCCTGAAACGGCTGTTGAAAAAAAAAAAATCCCTGGTGATTACAACTCATTTTTTGAAATTGGGTCATTCTGTCTTCCCATGCCTTGGGATAACCAATTAAAGGAAAGAAAGCTAAAGAACAGAATAAATGCCCAAAACTCTGAGATCTTCAGCCTGTCATCAGTCTTCAGGAGCATCAATTTAAGTTTTCATGGTAAAAACTTAGTGTCTTGAGACCCTTCATAATAGACTTGACACAGTTTATAAAATCAACAGCTCTAGCTGCTTACTGTATATTTAACGATATAGTGATTGTCACCAGAAGACCCTACAACAGCTGTAGAAAAAGACATTATGATGGAAAAAGGTCACATATTTACCACAAAATTATGGCAGAATATAACTGAATTTCATAATTTAGTCCTATATGTCCTAAAGAATTATGATGGAAATATGTCTGAATCTGATGAAAATATTTTCAAAGAAGGGTGTTCTTTTGTTGAAGTTTATACAAAGATTGGAAATTGCTTTTCAAAACATCATTTTAGTAAAAAAATGATAAATATTATTTTGTACACAATCTACCAATGTACTGTTTTAACCATTTCCTCGCCAACATACTAGTTTAGCATTTCAAGATGATGGCAACCTACCTTGGATTTAATATTACATTATTTTTGTTGTTACAGTATAGTAATATAAAAGGGAATATGTGAATTGTAATGTTTTCATTTGATGAAATGGAAAATTTGTATCAACAACTATAGCATTCAAGCAAGGGTGGTAAAAGAACTAGTTTGAAAGAGGTTGTATCTTAATTATCTTGAAAATTGTATGTATTAATTTCCACTAGATCTCAGAAAAGCAGAACTTCAGAAGACTGAGAGAGGTTTGAGATGGTGCCAGTGTACAAAGGAATGAACTGGATCATTTGGATAAACACAGCAGTTGGTCTGACATGAGTTGTGGTCAAAATAATGGACAAGGTGGCATGGGATTCAGTTTTTAAAGGACTAAGGGATAGATATATATTAATGTAAGTCAACATGATATCTAGTACTCATATTTAGAAGCTAAAATGCGGATGGACGCGTGTATTGTAGGGAAGTATTAGGAAGAAACATGAATGCTGGAAGTAATTGTGTATATTATATAATTGTGTATAATTGTACATGCAAAAGATATGTGTACCTGCATTGTCAAACTGGCCTTTACTGGGCCAGTAATTTGCAAGTGCAATTAACTGAGTTTAGCTAATTTAAACATCTAAGTAGCAATTGTGTATTTGTGTCAGATCCCTTGACATCTAAATGCCTTAAATTGGGGTGCAAATAATTGTAGAAGAAAAACATGTGCCTGTGAGTTACAAAAATCAAAGCTGTAGAGAATCAATACCCTCCAACAGACCATCATATATGTCTCTTATTTTTAGATAATGATGGCAAAACTTTCCTCACAAATGTTTTGCTGTATCTATATACATTTTCCTATATCTTGCACTGCTGATCTGAAAGAAATTCTCTTGCTCCCTCTGAAAGGTAAACTATCTTTCAACCATAGCTTACCTTATGCATCAACAAAATGCAAGCATTTTTGTCTGTATCAGTTTGCCAACATTTGAAGCTATTTAACTGGGCTGCATATATAATTGGCTAGGTACAGAAAACACTAACCACAATCAGTAGCTTAATTCCTTATTCTAAATTGTTCTTAGGTAATAGTAAGAAGAAAGGCAGACAAACACCCCCCCCCCCCCCCCAAACCAACAAAACGAAACCAGAGACAGAAACCCCAGAGAGGATCTCTGAGTTTTTGCCACTAACCCATAACCTCAAATTCTGTTTGCATAATATTCTTAGGATCATGTTTGTTGGTTATTTGATGTATTTGATAGAGGACCCATGTGACAGAAGAATGAGGTTTAGAAAAATAATTCTCTCTGGAGTTTTATACTTAAAATACTTAATGATCTTCATTTGCCATACAGGACATTATTTAATCCTTTTTCCCTCTTTTTCAACTCCTTGAGAATTCTCACAGCAAACACTGACCAAAGAGTACCTCAGCTTAGTTATCTGAGTAACTCATAGAACATGAGAATGATGATTTATATGTTTTTTGAATGAGTTTTGTTACAGTAGAATATATTAAAGGTGTAATAGTATTTATTGTATTCATATTTAGGTAGGGTGGGAATAACATATTTGTCAAGATTTATGTGAATGACCTTTCAGGGATGTGATTCATTTCTCCACCGCCCCCCTGAAATTAATAGAAAATTATACAGTTGTTATAGGAAACATGAATTAGATGAATTAAGACATACCTAACAAAAAGAAACATCTAGAAACATCTATGGTAGTGCCTATATATAAAGGAAATGTCCTGCCCCCTTCTTGTCCCCCTTTCCTTTATTCCTTTTACCAGTAGTTTCCATGACTCTTTTTCCTTGTCCATCTGTTTAATTTTATAACATCTTTCGTGGCTGCAATTTTGAGCAATAAGGACATTTTTTCAGTAGTTTTTGTTTAATTGTTTTTTTGGGGTTTGCGTATTTGGGGTTTGGCATTTTTTAATGGCATTTACAAGGCATTTAGAAAGAAGTGACCAGGAGATGCAAAAAAATCCTCTCCTTAGTTCTGGTAACTTGCTTCTGTGCAAGTCATTAAGAAAATTCCTTTTCAAAATTTTTTGCAGGCTAAGTTCACATAGGTTAAACCAAATCGGGATAAAAGTGATTTGATTTGTTAAGAACATGTAATTAAGCAGGAAGTAGTGAACTATATATTCAGGATCAATACCAGCAATTCAACAGATAAATCACAACACTAGACACTTACTAAATGTTAGCATACGCCTGAACATTCCTGAACAGCTTTCTATGGCTCATCCTAGAAAATTGTAATTGCATCCATCTTACCCGACCTCCTTGGGTTAAATGCACCTCACCCCAGAAGAAATGTGAATCACAAGCACCACCCTTCCAAGCCACACACCCCTCCTGTGGGAATGTTAAGTGCAACTATACTGCTCCCCTCAACTGCTAACCCAAAGTAAATTCATACTTGCACATCCATGCAGGTTCCTGTGCATTGCTCCACATACTGTCATCCACCCCACAGGTTGCTCATAGCCTCTAACAGGGAAGCTCCTCTGGCCAGTCTTGTGGGTGGTTGTGATATCCTAGAGCAATTGCTGGAAATGGCAAGCTTGGCATTAACTGCTACTTTTTCCACTGCAAAGTTTCTCTGCACTGCTATAAATACTTGTACTTCTTCTGTACTTCTTTCAAGCTGATTCTTCTGTTAAAAAATCCTCTTTTCAGTTCCAAGGTTTAAGCCGGCTGGTGGCCATCTTCCTCTTTAACTTGATAAGTTTTGCGCAAACACCCTTTTTGACAGTTTTGGGTTGTTCCATCGAGATGTACAGTGCACGCTCAGGTTCCTGTCTCAGTGGCTGTGGCTGTCCAGGCCCTTGAAAGAAGGAAGAAAAAGAAACCGACTGGGAAAGTGTACAAAGAAGATCAGCAAAGATGGTGAAGGGTCTAGAGAGCAAGTCTTACGAGGAACAGCTGAGGGAACTGGGGTTGTTTAATCTGGAGTAAAAGGAGCTTGAGGAGACCTTATTACCCTCTACAACTACCTGAAAGGAGGTTTGTAGCAAGGTGGGTGTAAGTCTCCTTTCCCAAATAATAAGTGATAGGATGAGAGGAAACGTCCCCCCAGTTGCACTAAGGGAGGTTTAGATTGGCTATTAGGAAAAATTTGTTCACAGAAATGGTTATAAAGTGGTATTGATTCTGACTGAGTTGGAGTTAATCTTCCTTATAGCAGCCCTCATAGTTCTATGCTTTGTATTGTAGCTAGAAAGGTGTTGATAACATACCAGTGTTTCGGCTACCGCTGAGCAGTGCTTACACAGCATTAAGACTGTCTTTCCAAGATTCCCTTTTCACCAGTAGGCTGGAGGTGGGCAAGATCTTGGGAGGGGACACAGTCAGGACAGCTGACAAAATCTGCCAACAGGATATTCCATAGCATATGTGTCGTGGTTTAAACTCAGTCAGGTAATTCGTTCGCTCACTTCCCCCCCCTTTCTTGCCCTCCCCCTGCTCTCGGAGGGACGGAGAGGAGAATCGAAAAGAATGCAACTCTCACGGGTTGAGATAAGAACAGTTTAGTAACTAAGGTATAACACAAATCACTACTGCTACCACCAGTGATAATAATGATAAAGGAAATAACAAGGGAAGAGAATACATCATCTCACCACCAGCCGACCGATAACTCGCCCCCCCAGCCCGACCAAGCTCTGACCGATACCTCCTCTAACCCTGCAGACTCCCAGCCCTTCCGGCTAACTCCCAGTTACATCCTGGGCATGACGTGCTGTGGTATGGAATACTTCTTTGGTCAGTTTGGGTCAGGTGTCCTGTCTCTGCTTCCTCCCAGCTTCCCCTCCTCCCTGGCAGAGCATGAGGCTCACAAAGTCCTTGGCCAAACCAAAACATCGCTTGTTATCAGCTCCGTTCCCGAGCTGAAAGTCAAAACATTGCACTGCACCAGCTACCAAGAAGGGGAAAAATGACTGCTACTGCTGAACCCAGGACATTATCCACCCCTTATTCCATACCATTCACGTCATGCTCAGATCCCACATTTTCAATATACCATCACTCTTATCTCAGTGCACTCTTATCTTAGTGCATGGACCAGTCCCTATAAAGCTGCTGAGTCCATCTGGTCCATGATGTCAGGCTCCATCTCTTGTAACAGTCTTCCAGAGCAGGAGAGACTGTGTGCAGTGTTCACACTCGTGAATAACCTGGGCAATATTGTCCATTGCTAAGTCCACCCCTCGATCATGAGTCCATCTCTGTGTTGCATCTCTGCTCTGATGGCCTGAAGTGCCATGGGCCCACCAGGCTCAAAATAATTCACTGTCCCCTTAAGCAGTTTCTGCAGCTTGTTGCTGGGGACTCCATACAGCTGCCTTCCATCTCCGATGCTTCCAAAGCACTGGAGGGGCCCAGTGGACTAGATACTTGCCCATACTGTCCCACATACCCTGCCACTCATCACTGTCCAGCCTTGGAGAAAACCTCTTGGTCCCCCTATATCCTCGTCTAACCCCAGACAAGACCCAGACCTGACTCTGCTTAACTTTTGAGATCAGACAAAATGGTTTTGGGTAGAACACAGTCTGTGTGTGTGCCAACATGCTGATCCCCATCACAATCAGCAGGCAGGTCCCAAGGATGCCCAAAGGCCATTCAAAACCTTCAGAACTCTCAAACGATGCTGCTGTACTTGTCACTGGGGCTGGTGCAGCTGCTGTACTTGTCGGCTCTCCCACCGCCAGCTTCTCTTTTCCTGAGTCCAGCTCTTCCTCCTCTGCCTTGCTGGGAAATGCTGCGTGGTCTCCTGCATCCTCCTGGGGCTCGGCGGGCGGCTGCCGGGGAATGCTCTCGGCCGTCGCGGGGCTGGGCTCGGCCGCGGGGCTCGGCTCCTCCGCGGGGCTCGGCTCCTCCGCCGCCTTCTCCCGCTGCTCGGCAGCCGCCTCCTTCTGCTCCTCGACCGCCCCGACCTCCTCCACCGGCAGCCGTCCCCTCGCGGCCTCCGGCCCCGCTCCCGCCGCCGCTTGGTCCCCGGGGCCGCTCTCCCGGGCCGCTTCGGCTGCCGCCGGCTCCCGGGGCCGCGCCCCCGCGGCTCCCCGCAGCCTCACGAAGATGGAGAGTAGGGTGAGGGCCAGGGCGGTGAGGAGCAGCCGGACGGCCAGGTACAAGTCCAAGGCCACGTCCGTCCCGCCCTGCTGCTGGAGCCCGCCCGTATTACAAGCCATTGCCATAAAGCACAGTGAGACAAGAACCTTAGCCCAGGCCCCATACTTGATAAACACTAACACAGCAAATACCGGCTCTACGTAAGTTACAACATTCTGAAGCTGTGAGATCAAGCGAAACAACTCTGAGAGCCAATAAATCAGCATTGTGACGAGTGACTATTAATTCGGTCAGATCTGTTGTTATCTCAACCCTTCGTGCCCCACGTTGGGCGCCAAAAAGAAATGTCGTGGTTTAAACTCAGTCAGGTAATTCGTTCGCTCACTTCCCCCCCCTTTCTTGCCCTCCCCCTGCTCTCGGAGGGACGGAGAGGAGAATCGAAAAGAATGCAACTCTCACGGGTTGAGATAAGAACAGTTTAGTAACTAAGGTATAACACAAATCACTACTGCTACCACCAGTGATAATAATGATAAAGGAAATAACAAGGGAAGAGAATACATCATCTCACCACCAGCCGACCGATAACTCGCCCCCCCAGCCCGACCAAGCTCTGACCGATACCTCCTCTAACCCTGCAGACTCCCAGCCCTTCCGGCTAACTCCCAGTTACATCCTGGGCATGACGTGCTGTGGTATGGAATACCTCTTTGGTCAGTTTGGGTCAGGTGTCCTGTCTCTGCTTCCTCCCAGCTTCCCCTCCTCCCTGGCAGAGCATGAGGCTCACAAAGTCCTTGGCCAAACCAAAACATCGCTTGTTATCAGCTCCGTTCCCGAGCTGAAAGTCAAAACATTGCACTGCACCAGCTACCAAGAAGGGGAAAAATGACTGCTACTGCTGAACCCAGGACAATATGTCATCTGCTCAGCAATAAAAGCTAAGAGGAAGGAGAAGAAGGGGTGGCATTTGTTATTATGTTTGTCTTCCATAGTAACCACTACATGTACTGAAGCCCTGCTTCCTGGGAAACAGCTGGACATTGCCTGCTGATGGGAAGTAGAGAGTAAATCATTTGTTTGCTTTTGCTTTCATGCATAGCCTTTGTTTTTTTATTAAAATGCCTTTATCTTGACCCACAAGAATTTTCCACCTTATTTTCTCCCTCCCTGTCCTACTGAGGAGAAGAGTGATAGAGTGGCTTGGTGGACCAGCCAAGGTCAATGTACCACAGAAGCATTGGAACAGGCTGCCCAGGGAATGGTTGCATCACTATTCCTGGTATTTAAAAGATGTATAAAAGAAGGGATGCTTAGGGACACGGTTTAATGGAGGACTTGGCAATGTTAGGTTTACAATTGGACTTGGTGACCTTAAAGGTCTTTTCCAACCTAAATGATGCTAAAATATATGAGAAATGCTTCCAACAAGTTCCAAGGTGATACTGCAGGACTTGCTGTTTTCCATATCCACTTACTGCTTTTCAGTGCCATTTCTCCAAACTTAAAATTTGAATCTACCTATTTTTCCCATTGACTGTTTTATGAGTGAGTTATTGTAATTATCCCTCACCAGAATCTCCAAATAAAGCTACCAAAATAAAAGTGTTAGGATCTTAGTTTTGATCATTGGTCTTGGTTTCATAATTTGCGGACAGTCCAGCAAAACAAGGCATCTCTTGACTAAATTGATGTTACTGTGAAAACCAGCTACCCTAGCAAATTTTTTCACAAAAAGATCACCCCTGTTACTGTTCCCTGGCTTTGAAGAAATATTGAAAGATGTGTTACTATAGTCATGATTTGGTTATCACAGTAAGTAGTTGGGTTTGGTACTTAAAGGAAAAATGGATGAAGAATTAAATGCAAGGAAGACATTATAGGTCTTAATTAAAAGTGTAAGAGCACACTGTGTGCCTGAACTCAGAATTAATTTTAACTGTGCATGTTCCCTTAGACCAGATGGAGGTAATGATCTTTGTCTCACTTTGTTGCAGGTGGAACTAAAGCTTTGAGGCAAAAAGACTAGGTTGTGGATGACTTGGCTCAATGATTAAAGCAAGGATAGAGTCAAGTATGGGGAACAGAGATAGTGACTATGGTCAGGGAAAGCCAAAAACAAGAATTAAAGTTACACCTGGTGCAGAATGAAGGATTTGCAAAATGACGGGGCTGAAGAATGAACAAAACTGATGGGCAGAAGAGAAGTATGGTCAGATGTTGTTCAAAACTTCTAAGGAAAATAAGGAGTTCATCTTGGAGAGCATCAAAATAAGGAGGAGGTTTTGTTCAATCCTAGATAGAAATGGTTTCATTTGGACTACTGAAATTGAAAATAAAATTCAAAGAAACACAAATTGTAAAGTAAATAGTATCCCATAGGAATGAAATATTTTTGGAACACTTGATGGATAAGCAAAATAAGCGTTGGAGTAAGTATATAAACAACTGGTGGAGGTAATGTTATTCTTTTATCTAGAGAAAGCCCAAAGTTTAGTAAGGAATCTAAACTCAGTTCTTTTTCCCATTTGAAGGCATTTGAAACTACATAGCCAGAGTACTGTATGGTACTACATATTCTGAGGGAACTGAAATGGCTTCTTGCTGATGAAGGTACTACCATTTTGTCTAAGTAAACATGAGAACACAGGAAGCTACACAAGCTCAGAAAACCACTGTTTTCCCATTTGATAAAAAGGCTTTGCTCACCTCAAACATTGTTCCAGTTTCCTGAACTATTTATGCATTGA